CATTCAAGCCGTCTCCAGCCATTATTAGAAATAATACTATGATTAATGAGACATGAAATTACGTCGACTTTATGAACCAAAATTGAACTGAAACCACTCAAAATGGCTGTTGCAAAAATATATCAAAAAAGTATCATTAAATTTATATCCATGCTACAATTCTTTCCTCGGCATTTTAACAGAGGTTCAGAACAGATTTGTAACTTCTTTACCATGAGTTACACAGAGTAAGATAAATAAGCAACTGCAACACAATATTTATAAGTAGGGGTGGAAGCTTTGATTTTGGATGTAGTTTTTCTCTAATATAACTCCATATGAATGTAAGGGGTGTATCTATAACTATCGTTTTTGAGGAGTGATTTTTAGTAATGTTTGATTAAAAATGTGTACTTTGTTATCTCCTGCACCTTTGATAGTAGCATTTTAGGTGTATGATACATATTAATAAAACTTCCTAAATACATTATCTTGAAGATGGCCTGGAATGACCTCAGTGATAATGTCACAAGATAAATCCACAACATTTCGTTCCATATCACTGACAGTTATTTTCCCGTACTTACAATGTAAGTTATAAAGTTTCGACACGGTATAAAATATGTAGATAACTTGGAAAATAAAACTAATTGATATTGTACAGTTATTGTACAGAGTAGCATAAGGGATACTACAAAACTGAGTGGACTGGTTACAAAATCAGTAATTGTACAGAGTAACATAAGGGATACTACAAAACTGAATGAGCTGATAATAAAACGTAAATCTACAGAGTAACATAAGGGATACTATAAATCTCAATGTACTGATAACAAAATATATGATTGTACAAAGTAACACGAACACATTATGGCATGAAAATATTTTCTAATTTCGTCGTCTCTCTTCGTTAGGTGGTTCAGGCACCTTGTACAGTGCGTCATTCAGATCGTAATAGTTGACAGACTTCGCACAATTTACTTTATACCACCATTGGCAAGAGAACTTAGCCTGGGAAAAGATGGTTCCATTCGGGCAGAGATAACTATCCTGTACTCCACCAGCTTGACACATGTGCACCACCTATAGAGAGCAATATAAGCTTAGCCTATTCTTATCCAAGATTAAAATATTCGATTCAGATTAATTAGTTTAATAACACTGTTCATTTTAAGTTGCTTAAAGCTAGTCCTGTTAAAACATTTAAACATGTCATATCAAACCATGTTTAATTTCACACATCGTGTTACTTAAGCCTAGCCCCATTAAGACTTTTAAGCCTGCCTTATCAAATCATGTTTAGTTTCACACAGATTTTCACATCATATGCTGTTTGATCAGATTACTGAAAACTACCATCTTTGGTATTTCTTCTTAATCTTACTCGTGTCTTTCATTTCAAGTTCAGATAGTATTATGAAGTACTATTACGAGAGTTGTACCTGTACAATAACCAATAGACTCATCTTAAAAATACAACAGAACACACTTGTTGGTTGGTTGGTTTCTGAGTTTTCGCATAAATCTACAGATCTACCAGATGGAAGGTAGTTAGTCAACAACACCCACCTCTAACGTTTGTGTTACTCTCATTTGATCAAAGAGTGGAATTTGACTATCTTTCTCGTAGCGCACCCACGACCCCAAAGGGTGAATCGCGATCATATAAACACCATAAATTCTCAGACTCGCAGTCTGGACACGCTAAGACCTGGGGCACGACTGACCCACAAATAAAGTACATACACATTAAGTTATACAACGTTTCGCCAAGTCTTTATTAGAGTTATGCAACGTTTCGTCAAGCCTGTGTTGGTCTTCATCAAGTGATTTTATAAAGATTCACTGAAACGAGTAGAAGCACCATCCTTGTCTATATGGAAGTAGGAAATTTTGAATACAACTTTAATGAAGTTTGGGTAAACGCTATTAGTTAATATGAGTTTCTAATGTCCCTGAGATTGTTTTCAAAAGTTTTTTTTTCTTTGCTAGGAAGCATGGACGTATTAGATAGAAGCATAGACGTATTGGATAGAAGCATGGATGTATTGGATAGAAGCATGGATGTATTGGATAGAAGCATGGAT